CATAGAAATGTAGCACGCTAATAATCTCACTGTTTTAGTGGAATTCTATCTAAAATTCCTTGAAATAACGATTCAGAAAATTGATCTACATATCAAGATAAACTTCACCTATATGTAATGCAATGAAATCTATTCATACACCATAAAAGGCGTCGTATAAAAATAGTTTTATGCGAAAAAATAGCCCTCAATATATTTAGAGCTAGATTTGTGTCATTGTAAATGTCTTTCTTACTGTTGCAGAGTAAGCAAGCAGGATGATAAACATTGTGGTAGCTCTGAAGGGCTTAAACCCAGTCTCTCCTTGTATACGGTGGCTGCGCCCGCAGTACGAGCGGCAGTCAAACCTGAGCTGTCCTACCGAAACGACACGATAATACCCTTTATTATTATTCCGTAGTGCCATGATATTTTTCATTTGCTGCCTCTATGAACACTGTCTAATGCCTTTTCAAAATCTCTTAATGTAGATATTTCTCTGCCACTCATTGCACTGCTCCAAAATGCCCCTTAAACTGAATATCTGCTCAGTTGTTCCTTCCTCACCTCTAAATCCTGCTTGCTCTTTCCGAGTGGGAGGATTTGTACTTATACCTAGATCTTCTGGCGTTAGTGCTGATATGTTTTTCTTTCTTCTATGTCCTGAGGTATCCCATTCCAGTTCTTAAATCAATATTTGTCGATGATAATTAGCGAGCAGCTAGGTGTGATAACGATTGTTATTTACCTAATACCATCGATTTATATCGATAAATCGATTAGACACCTAATCGGGTTTTATGACAAAATTGTTGTGGTCATATCAAAGGTATAAACTAAAGTTAGGACAGCGAGAACTTTGCGTGGGTTAAACTTAACTTTACAAGGACGAAAACAATCAGAATGCATTGATGAGATGGAAGTAAATATGCAAAATAAAACCAACTGTGAAAATGGCTTGGAGAAAAAGCAAAACAAAACAAAACAAAACAAAACACAGACAAAAACAAGAAAAACACACAAAAAACAACGTTAATTAGGAAGCAAAACAACATTGCCATAATACCAACACATCACATGCATCCCTTGCGACAAGCCTTATAACTAATTTTCCATCATAGATTCCCGCGCGAATATAAGAAAGGAGGAAAACAGCCTTACATAGCTTTCGACGGTCAACCGCGTTTACATTTCACGGATCACCAAATTAGGGCTGTCATAAAGTACTTTTCTAAAGGCTTGTTTGAACACGAAGTCGACCGGAACCCCTTACTACTCTGACGTCAATTAACTGACCACAACCAATACTGAATACAACGGAACAGGATGTTACTAATCATTTATAAAAAACTTAAGACAAACTTTTGTCATGAAAATTACATGTATTGCTTGTCATCAGCAGCAGTCGCGATTCATTCATACGTTCTGTCGATAAATTACTTTTGTAATTATGATATTTCGAGCGACCATCATGCAATCGCAAATTATTAAAGTACAAGACTGCTCACCCTAAAACCATAATTTTGGACATTTCGGGTTGTTTTTCTTTACTACAACAGCTAAGAAATGCAGCAAGATGGCTAAATTGAAAGTGCATGATAAACAACTGATCATAAGAATAACTTGCATGAGTACACTTGGTATTGGTCTGGAAACAAGCTGATGAAATAATTGTGAATAAACATTTACAAGCGATGTCACCTTTTGAAATTATGCATACACCAACCGAGAATTCAATAAAATAAAATTCCAAAATGTATCAACCGTTACTGGAGTTTCTAACGTATTTTTGTTGTTAAACTGAAAAGGACCAAAACTATTGCAGATGAAGGAAGTAGAGGAACGATTTTTGCCAAGATACTACTGCATAGCGTTAAATTAGCCCTCGAATATAGCCTTCTCAGACGGTTTCAAAAGCCAGATTCTTCTTCGCTTGAGGCGCTCTCTCCCGAGATCGCCAAACTGACCGGGAACAATCACTAGAGAGACGGCTATATTCCTTAGCAATACATCGACGCAATTTTGCGAGCCAGACCCTCAATTCGAGAATCTGTGAAAGAAATCGTCTGCTTCATTCAGGGGTAAGGAAACAAAACACATCGTTAGTCGTTTTCGTTAAGACGAGTCTTTTCGTCTTTGGCCTCTAAGACAATGTATCCTCGACTCTTGCCTGTAACGATGTCTATTGGCAACATCGCTTGAAATATCAGTTCAACAGGAATCCAATGTGGCGGATACTTGTACCTTGCTGTATCTAACATCAATACAGAGTTTGTTTCTCTGTCCAATGCAGCAACGGGACTATAGTGACCACCTCCGATTTGCCCGACAGCCTCCCTCGAATATAATATCGCCATTAACTCTCTTGGAATTTCGTCGTTGTAATTTTTTTCGCTGGCTAGTCTCCCTCCAGTGCACACTCTCTCAAGGCTTTGAACAAATTTCTCGAAATGCCCTATCGAGCTATTTGGTCTCACAATAGTTGCAGTAGCCCCATTGCATTCTGCCAAGTAAACAAATTCTTCTAAAGTAGATTCAGGCCCTTTGACACCGTCTTTATAAAAAAAGTTGTCTAACAGTTCATCTGTATACCATCGCCAAATAGATTTCCACTTCCGTCGAGGATCTATCTGCAAGGAGTTCAAAATAATGGCTAACGTATTGAGCCCACTGTACGTCAGTTGTGATTGAGTATTATAGCACGATGACAGAGATAGAAAGGGGACAGCATAACCAGTTTGTAGAGCGCGACAGAGACGAGTTCTGGATTCAGAGGATCTGTAATCAAGAAGTTTTTTAGGAAGTGGACAGCCGTAGAATGTCTCCGATGGATGAACCGACATGTCTCGACTCTGTACTGATCATGCGCAGACCTGTACAGGTTAAACAATTCCCAGCGTATTAACCACTCTCCGTGTATGTTGTGCTATTTTGAATTTTATATCAAATGAGCTGTCAAACCAACTAGGATTTGTCCCATGTTCCCTCTTTGAGAAATATGGGGGCTTATCTGTTGCTTCATTATAACTTTGAAAACTTCCTTACATCGATTGAAATGCCATCTTTCTAGAGGCAAATTCTTAGCTCTGGACAGCAGGAAAGTCAGATATAAAATGATAATTTTTAATTATGTAAACAAAGAAATATGTTTGTAATATAACGTGCCACGTAGCATTTTCAACTGTATCCAAGCCATTAGACGCGCATGAGCAATAACGTTCGCTTTCACCTGCTTTCAGTGTTACGTGATAGGCAACATCTTTCGACCATCTTTCGACATGCCATCTTTCCACATGCTATGTGGACGGCTGAAAGACCGTTTAATTGTGAAACTGGCGATTTTTCCAGTTATAAGCGGTAGAAATGACAAATAAATCATAATCACTGACCACAAATGGCTGAAGAAGATTGTAGACTTTGCATATTTCCCGATTTACGGTAATTCAAACGATTTGAGTGCAGAGTCGATCGGCTCTCAATAGTGACTTCCGGTAGAATCGGGCCGTTACCGCTTTTAATATTCGCAAGGCGCAAACATTCAAAACAGTTAATATATCTCTCACAGAATGACCTCTTGATACTCCTAGCCTTAGTTTGATGTCAAATAAATCCGTCTGTCATCATTAAAAGTCGAGTTTGACAGTAAAGAAGTCCCTTTTGGCTATATTTTAGACATAGGCCAGGTTACATAGCATGTTTAGAGATGTCGCCTATGCACGAAACACTGAAAGTGGGCGTAACATTTGCGACTGATAGAGGGATTTCTACCGAAAAGTCTATGTCAAAAACAATACATAAACACTTTTTGTATTCGCGATCAACGGATGCCCTTTAGGCCAACCCGAGAACACACTTTTAGGTTAACAGAAACTGAGTTACTAACCAAACAAAAAATTTCGTTACACTCTCTCCCCTCAAATGCGTGTAACTGGTTCCTCGATTGCATCACGGCAGGATCTTGTTTTTAACTTTACTGAAGACTCGTTATGAGGCGGATCAAGTTTGCGCAGCCTAAGCTCGGATCGGTCTTTCTGAACTAATACAGATATTTGCAAATGGAAAAAGCCATTTTTAATCCTTCGTGCAGTTCTCTGTAATGTACCTAAAATTGAAAGGGGTAAAAATTGGAAACGGGATACCGAAACAGGGTAAATGTTTTGGCGGTCCGAAAAGCTTTCGACGCTGTCTCACCGTCTTTCTCAAGTAAATATCGCCACAAGTTGGAAGAGAGTAAGGCGGCTGTCATAGCTAGAGAATAAAACAACTTCAGAGGGGGAATTCGCGAAGCCTTGGAAATTTCTGCCAGTCCCAGATGTTCAATCGAGACCGTGGTATTGAACTTCCGGCCCTATACGGGGATGTTTTGGCAAGTGACTTGGTTCACCCAAGCTCTAACAAATAGATTGCGGTCATATTCACTTAAGAAAGACGCTGTGATAGCGTCGAAAGTAAAAACACTGACTCGCTTCGGTATCTCGTTTGTTACTATGTCTCCTAAAGCGTCAATCAATCAATCAATTTTATTTAGAGAGGGTGACACATCACAGTATCAACTGATAAACTAGTGGCCCTCTGTGCTAAAAATCTACTAGATTCGGGAAACAATCTATTTACTCGATCGATCACAACAGCAATTTGTACGATTTTGTTTTACCACTTTTGTGAGATTTAAAAGGGTTAAATGGTCTAAAGAGTAGTGAAAGGCATTTTAAAATGCCAAAAGGTTGATACGTAGAGGATGTCATACGGCGATGCGAAGATATGAGTTTTATTTTCGAGCGGTAAAAGCAATATTTTACTCACTCGCTTCACTCATACGTAAAACCTGGTTTTTAAAAAGGAAATTCATATCTTCAATCCACTATGAAATTCTATTTTCATTATATAGAATGCGAAAAAAGGTGCAGAAACATACTGGTTAAATAATTGTCAATAAAAAAATTTCAAACATCTAAAGCCTTTTGAAGTTATGCATACATCCCGAATATTCGGTTGTGTTCTGGTACACTGAAGGAATGACCATTGCACTGCCTTTTGTTTAGCCGTTGTATATTTTTGAGTCTTCTGTATTGGTTCTTGTGTACCGGTACACCAGGACAGAACCGAACATTCAATAAGACAAAATTTAATAAAAATGTATTATTTTTTTACTGGTTCTTTAAGAGTAGTTTTGTTTTATAAACCATGAAGAGGAACAATTCTACTATAAAAGACTGCAACGGAAGAACGATTTTTGGCAAGATATGAACGCAGTTATAATAATCCATATTTAATTAGCCTGAGAATGCAGTTGCTACTTCCAACAAATGTGGCGCTCTCTCACGAGAACCCAAGCTAATTTAGCTTGAAGAGGATGGATGATTTTTCTGTCAATGACACAAGAATACTTGGAAAAAGATCGAGTTCTCCAGCTAGGATTCGAACCAAGAGATTATCAAGGTAAGAGCGTGAATCCCCCGTATAGGCCTTATACCTAAGGTAATCCCTGTTAAGATATTTTTAGACATGGTACCCAGTTCTTCCGAGAATGTTTCTCGCGCGACGCGTGGACAGCCCAAACGAATTTCTCGCAACTACCCGAGACGAAACACCTTCGAGTAATGCAGATAAGTCATTCACAACTGTCTAGGTGGGTGATTCTATGATAAAACAAATACAGGGACGGAGGCTGGGTAGGAAAGTCGGCCATCGTGTGGCTGTTAAATCTTTCCCTGACCTAACCACCAACGATATGAAGCACTACCTAATGCCTACTGTTGACAAGAGCCCTCAACAGATTATTCTCCATGTGGGAACGAATGACCTACGCGACCATACTCCAACCGTAGTAGCTGAGAACATTGTGGACCTTGCCAGGAAATTGAAATGGAATCTAACGCTGAAGTTATCTTATCGAAGCTGGTGTCAAGATCAGACAATGTTCCAAACGATGCTGTGAAAGCTGTTAACAAGCGCCTTATGAAATACTGAAATCAAAATGACTGGAGAATGATTAAGTATCAAAACATCGACAGAAATTGTCTAAATAAGAGTGGACTACATCTGAATGAAAAAGGTAATAACATCCTTTGTAGTAACTTTGTGAATGCCTTAGATAATAACTCCATGCATTGAATTCCTATTTCCACGGGTGCCGATCAAACCTCTGCAGCCGAAAAAAATTTCAGTTCTCTTACGAGTCTTCTAGGACCGATGAAATCCCTGTAGTGGAAGAGAATTCGGATTTGTCTCGCGAGTCTTCTGTCTTTTTATCTTCAATGTGTGGCTTTAAATTAGCCTCCTTAAATATTGCAAGCTTGCCGAAACACGTTGACGAGCTGAAAGTTTTGCTCTTCGATAACCCTCTTGATATATCATCTATTAATGAGATGAGGCTCGATGATTCTGTCAGCACGACGACGTTTACATGCCTGGTTACGATATCATTCGCCGCGATTGTGAACATAACGGTAGATTTGGTGGGGGTCTGCATCTATGTTCGATCTAATATAAATTTGTCTTTACGCCCTGATCTAAGTGATATATACCTCGAAAACATATGCATCGAGATTCGTAAACCTCGATCTAAACCCTTTCTTGTTGCTACCTGGTCTAGGCCTCCTAATTCATCAACTGAGATATTTTCTCATTTTGAATCCTTTGTTGGCAAGCTCTGATGCGGAGAACGTTGAGTCTTATTTAATGGGTGACTTTAACTGTAGTTTGGCTTCTCCGCAACCTGATATCAACACAGTGTTGTAAACCAATATTGTTGATATTTGTAATCTTGACCAACTAATAGATAGTCCAACTCGCATTATATTACTAACACATCTTCTACCCTGATTGATGTAATATATCAAAAACGAGTGCGAGTGTTTCATCAGGGTTTCCAAACACGAGAAAACTGATGAAAGCACTCGGCCTACGGNCATGGGATAGTATTCGATCGTCGTCTGCCAACAGCTCTAATAACTTCGTTAAGTAACTCATTATCACGATAAAGAGGAGAAAAAATAGACCAGTTCTAGTTGCTCATCGTTTTTTCTAGCTCTGCAAGAGAATACTAAAAGTGAGGAAATAAGAAAGAACCGAGTATTACTGAATTATAAAACTATGAAACAGAACAATAACACAATGGGAACGTAAAAAGTGATGGTTGAAAATGGTGTTGGTTATAGCGGTCAATGCGCTTAGCTACACAACTATATAATAGGCTTAAAAATCCCAGCTGGCGGGAGGCGACCAGTTGGCTATATTTACAAGCATGTCCGAGGAGTTGAACTATGGTCTACCGAGAAAGAACTCCAGCTTAGTGGTGAGAGCGGTGACCTCCTGATTTTAAGCTCGGCACCCTAACCACTCGGCAATGCTGCCTCCACTCCACATGGTGACAATGGAAGCGTAAAAACCGCCAGATTTCTAGAAAAAAGTTGGATTTTCGACTTACCATCTAGCTTTGCCAAAGGAAAACCCTAGAGTGGTGTAAACAAGGTTATCAGACAAATAAGTAGCATTATCTTTGAAGCCATTCATAGTTTTCCTGAGTTCGGTGAAGCTTACTTTGTAAGATTACTTGGTTTAATGATGTACTCGTTCGCGTACCTCGCAATTTATACGTTTACCGGGTAGATTTAGGAATAATTCTAGAACCACTAATAACCCAGATATTGTCGCTTTGTTAAANTCAGACAAATAAGTAGCATTATCTTTGAAGCCATTCATAGTTTTCCTGAGTTCGGTGAAGCTTACTTTGTAAGATTACTTGGTTTAATGATGTACTCGTTCGCGTACCTCGCAATTTATATGTTTACCGGGTAGATTTAGGAATAATTCTAGAACCACTAATAACCCAGATATTGTCGCTTTGTTAAATACTCAATATACAACATACGATGAAGCGACAGGCAGATATTAAACAGAGGAAATCATGCAGACCTATGACCTCTAAAAATTTGCCATAGCACGGTCTAACGGCTCAACGCTACTTAAAATTTCTCCTTATAATACAGAATTAAGAGCCCTTCATAAGCAGGAGTGAAGTTCAAAAAGGTCGAGAGACCGAACAGAGAACGCAAACTTACGAAGGTCACGAACCGTAGGAGTCGTGTAGGCTTGCCACCACCATTTTACACTGTACACACTATACGTCTCACTATCTTTAAATTTCTCTTCTTTCATGACACAAAACAAAACACGTCAAAACATAACGTTTTAAATCAACCATAGATAGCTGAGACCATATTCATTAACAAGAGACCATCTTGGTTGTCAATATGACGTTTATTGTCGCCATCGGGCGTTACGGTTCAGGCATCGTTTTCTGTCAAACCACTTCTTTATCGTAATTGCGTTTGGCGGAGAAACCTCTATGCAAAGCTAAACAGGTAAATAGCGTTTTAAGATACAAATCTGCTTCCCCTAAAACTAGATTCAGAACAAGTTATGACATAACATCAACAATTGCAGCTAATTGCAGCCTATGACCTGAAAGAAGGGCACCTAGAGTAATCACTCAGCACGTGACCTTTCCCGCATTCCCGAGAACATTGGCGCTGGGTTGAGGTGTCGGTTGAGGTCAAGATAAACGATAATAGAAAAAATCTTTAAAAATGTCCACCCCAACCCCGTTCTTTCACATCGTTCGTACCCACTAAAGTAAATTTAATGCGAAAAGAGGTCTGGAAACATATTGATTACATAATTGTCAATAAAAAATTTCAAACATCTAACGCCTTTTGAAGTTATGCATACATCCCGAATATTTGGTTGTGTTCTGGTGCACCGAAGGAATGACCATTGTACTGCCTTTTGTTTAGCCGTTGTATATTGTTAAGTCTTTTGTATCGGTTCTTGTGTACCGGTACACCAGGACAGAACCGAACATTCAATAAGACAAAATTTAATAAAAATGCATTAATTTTTTACTGGCACTTTCAGAGTATTTGTGTTTTTAAAATGCAGAGGAACAATTCTATTATAAAAGACTGCAACGGAAGAACGATTTTTGGCAAGATATATACACAGTTGTAATAATCCATATTTAATTAGCCGGGAAATGCAATTGCTACGTACTTTTAACAAATGTGGCGCTCTCTCGTGAGAACCCAAACTGAATTCGTTGGCAATGCAATAATACAATTTTGCATGCCAGTTGCTCTACTTGAGATTACTGTCAGCGTGCATGTGAAGAAGCTGTTAAATAAATCGTCTACATCATTAGGTACGGGGCTAATATTAAACAAAACACACCTATAGAATCAAGACGCTCCAAGAAAAAAACAAAATTGTGTGTTTCTACGCACCACGTTCGTTATTACGACTCTATTCTTCTTGAGCCTCTAAGACAATGTACCCTCGACTCTTGCCTGTAACAATGTCTATTGGCAACATCGCTTGAAATATCAGCTCAACGGGAATCCAATGTGGCGGATACTTGTATCTTGCTGTATCTAGCATCAATACAGAGTTTGTTTCTCTGTCCAGTGCAGCAACGGGACTATAGTGACCACCTCCGAATTGTCCGACAGCCTCCCTCGAATATGATATCGCCATTAACTCTTTTGGAATTTCGTCGTTGCAATTCTGATCGCTGGGCTGTTCGCCTCCAGTGCACACTCTCTCAAGGCTTTGAACAAATTTCTCGAATTGTACTAACGAGTCGTCTGGTCTCACGAGAGTTGCGAGAGCCCCACTACATTCTGCCAAGTAAACAAACTCTTCTAAAGTAGTTCCAGGCTCTTTCAGACCGTCTTTATAAACACACCTGTCTAACAGTTCATCTGTATACCATCCTGTTATTGTTTTCCACCGACGTCGAGGATCTATCTGCAAGGAGTTCAAAATAATGGCTAACGTATCGAGCCCACAGTACGTCAGTTGTGATTGAGTATTATAGCACGATGAAAGAGTTAGAAACGGAACAGCATAACCAGTTTGCAGAGTACGACAGAGACGAGTTCTGGATTCCGAGGATCTGTAATCAAGAAGGTTTTCTGGAAGCGGATAGCCGTAGAATGACTCCGATAGATCTGCTGACATCTTGCGATTCCCTAGAGTACTAATGTGGGGGTAAACCACAGGTAGCCCATGTTCATGAGATCATCACTCGGTGATATATAGCGGCGGTAATATACGGATTTGTCAGAAACTTCATAGCTAAAATTGATATCGGAACAAAGTGATGGTGAACATGCATTAAAATGTGCATTTCAACTAACCTAGCTTGAAGAGGATGGATGATTTTTCTGTCAGTGACACAAGAAAAGTCGGAAAAAGTTCGAGTTCTCCAGCTAGAGTTCGAACCAAGAGATTATCAAGGTAAGAGAGTTAAGATAAGATACATAGATAATCTTTATTTAAACACGGTTAAAAATTCGTCAGCTAAAACTATTAATAAGCAATAGTAAAAACTAATTTAATTGCTGGTTTTCAGTGTCACGCAATTCAAAGTAGATCAAAATAAAAATCAAAACCGGTCAATAGATGAAATTAAAGAAGGTAAATATGCAAAGACTCTCGCCAAAGTTCTGGTCACAGCAATTTTTCTTACGCGAGATACGCGGAGAAATTTTTTACCCAAATTTATAGGCATTTGTAAGAAGACGCCATGCTGGTGCCCATCCGTATGGGCACCAACATGGCGGCCGGAAACCAACAGAAACATCTGTCACTGAGTTTTGCTACAAGAGCGTGAATT